CCGAAGCTGATAACAGGCACTCCTGACCGCCGCATTCACCTGACTATCTTTTGGATTTTCCAGCTTTCCAGCTATCTTTTGGATTCTTTTCAAGCAGGGCAAGTAAAAGGAATGCCGAATGAAATGGAAATGTTACCTCACTCATGCTCTGTAATTTTTAACATTCTGAACTCATGGGCTTCATTTCATGGTTCTTCTTATGTTCTGTTTCTTCCAGATTCTGAACTTGCTCTAATGTACAATGATGAGTCTGTCTTAGAAAATCACCACCTTGCTGTGGGCTTCAAGCTACTACAAGAAGAAAATTGTGACATCTTCCAGAACCTGACCAAGAAACAACGTCAAACTCTCAGGAAAATGGTGATAGACATGGTACGAATTTGGTACCTTCTAGCTTTCTTGCTAGCCTCTCTTGTCCTATATGAAACAGAAGGCCAATTTCCCCTTTCCTTGCAATAATTCTTTCTTCTTCCATGCAGGTCTTGGCAACAGATATGTCAAAACACATGTCTCTTCTGGCAGACTTAAAAACCATGGTGGAAACTAAAAAGGTGACAAGTTCTGGTGTCCTCCTTCTGGATAATTACACAGACAGAATACAGGTATATATGGGAGGTGATTTATTTATGAAAACGTATACTACACACAGCGATTTACTTAAGGAAGTGAGGCAAGAAAATAGAAAAAAAGTTAATCACCAGGCTCACAGTGGTGAAAGTGTATCTTTGCTCTCATAATTTTGCAGCCCCTTTCAGTGCTTGAAGTCTCCTTCCCTGGAGAAAAGCTTTCTCAGAACAATATGTGGGAGCCTTTTTTCAAAGTGGGAAACAAGACTATTCAGAGCTGGTTAGGACAGTGATAGACATTAGGAAGAAAACAGTAGAAAGTACAGATCTTTAGAGAGAGAGAGGTAGAATTAGGCTGGGTGTAATTTCAGCCACTTCAGTATGAACTGCCACAGTTACATGAGGGAACAAAACTAAACCAATGAACACATTTTGCATATAAACACTGCCACTACTAAGATGTGCCTTCTGCAGATTATAAACATGCTAATCATATCAGCCTCTCCAACAGAGAGGAATGTAGTAGTTAGGGGCTTCTGTATCTTCCTCCTTCTGACAGTTCCTCCCTCCAACCCATCTGGAGAAGATGAGATCTCATTGCCCTGAGGATTATGAAATCACCTTTAGCCTTTGTTTGAATTAGCTGTATTTCCAAATGTTGTGTAACTTGTAAGTTTGTTCTTTGTACATTTATGGATTCTAAGAATTAAACCTTGCCGTAATTGGCCAAAAATACTAAAAGAAGGGATCTCTTCCCTAAATGGAGGGAGCAGTGGCTAACCAAATGTTAATGAGT